ACCTCACTTGCCTTAATCACACAACCTGAACATTTAACTCCAGGTAACAAATGACCATCTTGCTCCCCCTAGTGGAATTGTAACTCTACTTCAAAGTTTGAGAGTTAAATTTGTTTCACTAGAACACGTTTGATTTAATGTCTTATTTTTGGAAAGTAAATATTTTCCAAGTTTATTTTTGAAGAATGAGAATAAAAAATATTGCAGTGAATGAGATAAAAGGGATTCAGGTAGAGACAGTGGTGTTCTGATGATAAGATTTCACTTCCTGGTGTTAGCGAGGTTAGCTACAAAACGTATAGTGGCTGTCAAATTCCAGGACCTCTCTGTTCTTCACTTCTATCCTTGGAAGGTCAGGTGTCATCAGCCTGGTGGACAGTCACCTCTAGAAGTCACTGTCCACACTCCTGGGGGAGATGGGAGGGTGCTGGTTATTGGTGATATGGAAAGACAAGGACTAGTCCCATCCCAATAAATATCACTTGTGCCATTGGAAACTAGGTTCAGGAAGTATCCTTCTGCCTTCTGAATTTACTCAAGAGACCATATCAGTATTCGCAGCATATGGTAATTATCCCAAGCTAATAGCTGCTAAGTCTTCTAAAAAATTCTGGTAATCGAAGCTAAAATAATTGCCGACTCTCTTCACATTTTCCTTTTTTTCCCTTGCCACATTTGATTTAATGTCTTATTTTTGGAAAGCAAATATTTTCCAAGTTTATTTTTGAAGAATGAGAATAAAAAATAAAATATTTGTTTTTCAGGTGATCCTTGTTATGATTTAGTGTTTATTGAACTTTGTACTCTATTCTGTATCCTCATATGTAGATGCTAGAACTGAAATGTGGGAAACTGTTAAAAAAAATACAGCCCTCTACTTGTTGAAGGATACATTCTAAGACTCCCATGGGGTGTCTGACACCACAGATAGTGATTCTGTCTATATAAAGTTTTTCCTATACATCCATACTTATGGTGAAGTTTAATTTATAGATTAGGCACAGTAAGAGATTAACAAAAAATAATAAAATAATTACAATAATATACCTTAATGAAATTGCCCGAGTCACTATTATGCTCTGAGGCCATTAATAAGTAAGAAATACTTAAACATGAGCACTGTGATTCTCTGACAGTCACTTTGATAAATCGAGACAGCCACTAAATGATTTATGGGCAGGTAGTATATACATAATGGCTACACTGGATGAAAGGTTGATTCATATCCCAGGTGGGGCAGGCATAAGATTTCATGATGTTATGCACAATGGCACACAATTTAAAAGTTATGAGATTACTTACTTCCAGAATCTTCACTTAATATTTTTGGACTGTGGTTGAGTACCATTAACTGAAACCCATTGAAAGTGAAACTGTGGATGAGTTTCAGGGAGGGGTTATTATATCTTTATATACCAAGGATTAGCACCCTGCTCTTGTGCAGATAAAGCTTTACTTTTAAGCCTCATCAAGGTCAACATAAAAGCTATAATGGATATCAGATCGAAGGGCAGCACAGTATATGCCCTCAATAACTTATGAATAAAAATATTGTAATTAGAATATTCCCCCTTTCTTAAAATTATTTAAAGAGACACTATTTAGATGCATTATGTTTCAAATATTTATTCTAAGATTTAGTGTTTATCTGGGGAAAAATGAAACAGCAGAATTGAATTAAAATTTCATCAAAAAAGAACATCAAAATGCTCTCTGGGCCTGTTTTATTTGTGGTGTATAGGGGGGAAAATCAAGAGAAAAGCTCATAAAATTAAAAAACTTCTGTTTGCTCATGAGTCAGAGTAATTTAGTTCAAGAATTACATCCATGCAAACATACAGCTTTCATTTAAGCAAAGTGTGAATTTTGGAGTTCTGGTTTGGAATCCTGTTGTGTGATGCTTGTATTCACATTTGCAAAGGCAGATGTTGCTATGGTCACATAGCACAGCTGGACTATAGATGTCCATCTAGAAGGCTTTGAGCCCTGGAGAGCAGGCAGTGTTTGAATGGAAATCAGCATATCTCTCTGCATATATGCCTAAGCCTAGCTCTGTATGTGTACAGTGTACACATGTGCAGCTGTCGGGATCTGAGTGCATATATAAGCCTGCAGCGCTGGAGAAGTTACTACCACAGCTCAGCCTCTTCCCAATGGATGCTGGGAATTTTGTGCACTGACAATATGATACAAAGCCGCTTTTAGCAGTGCCCAGGGATATTTGGGAAGCTCCACCACAGATCTCTCCCTTCTTAAGGACTGTTCTGGTGACCTTCTCTGGCAGCTGTGTCAGAGTGCCTCTCCTTGGGGACATTCCAGGCATAGCTTGGAAGGCTTTCCTTTCTTGAGAGGCATGAAGACCTAGTGAATGCAACAGAATATCTGTCTGCATTCCTTACACTCCTGAGGGATAGGCTTTGCTTACTTTGCTGTGTTCCTTTAAAGTGACTGACTGGTGCATTAATGACTGGGGTAGGTTTGCACCTTAGAATCTTATTTTCTCAAGGGTAGAGTGAGCACTGTTGATTTAACGCCCAAATCCTGTCACACCTGGCTTTTCTGTGTCATCTATGGTTGTTGGTGTTTGGTTTTTAAAATTTTTCTCTTTAAGGTTCAAAAACGCAGAAATTCACATACGAGCATTTAACTGTGAGCATGGCAGAGAATGAAATAGATAATTGAGATTCAGCTGGAGGCTGGGTCAGCAGGTAGTCAGCAAGAATGTGGAAGGACCTCTTTATTTTGGGACAGAGCAACCAGCTAAACTGAACCAGAAGAAAACCAGTATTCTTTTCAAGATCGTCTTTCTTGCTACTTAGTTGTTGGCAATTGGAGAAAATATATCTATACCTTGGAAACATAGTAGACCTGACAGAGCATTTGGGGGTGGGAGGGATACATCTGTCCATTTTCTGGTAGCTTTCATGACACAGGGGAAACCTGTGGACAAACATCTGGCATGTTGAAATATTCGCCTGCAGTGTGACATGTTTCATGTAGTGTTTCCTTAAGGAATCTTACTATAGCTACTGTTAATGCTTATATTGGTCCCCCAAACTATCAACAAGCACCATCAAAACCTGTAAGAAAGGCAGCAGGAGGGTTAAAAAAGAGAAAAGAAAGTTTATGGGGATAATGAGGACTCAGACTCCCAAGTAGATAGCATGGGGAGAGGTCAAGGTAGATGATGATATTTTACCCAAAGTCAGTGTTTGGCAATAGTTACTAAAAATTAGATGGTGACTTATTAAAAATCTAGTCCCCTCCATCCCCCAGATATATTAAATCAGAATCTCCAGATAGTAAGTATCTTGGTTGATTCTTAATGGAAAGACAAATTTTGGGAAACTGCCATCATCTTCTTGTCTACTGGGACTAAAATATTTCCAAGTTGTAGGTAAATGTGCAGTTTATGTATGTACATGCTTGTATGTGGGCATATGTGTATGTGATTGCCAACGATTTTGAAGTTTGAGAAGAAATGGTCAAATATTCCATATTGGCATCATTAAACATCTCTTAACAAAAAGCATTAATTCTTTGTTTGGTTACAGAAGGTTTTCCCATACATTACCTCATTTGATCCTGATTACAAACCCATGGAGAAATTGGGCAGCAATAATCAGGCTCAGTCCTAGATTACCCATGGGAATTGGGCTCAGCATGTGGTTGGAAGTGGTAGAGCTGGCTCTGAATAGGATTTTTCACCATGTGGGGTAAACCTATCATCCACACCTCCCACGGCCACTTTTCTGCTTTCATCCCACACTCTAGTCACCAGGTTGATGACTGTTTTTGACATGTCAGGTTCTTCTTATGTCCACCCCTTTGCATATCTGCTCACACTCCTGGATGCCCCTTCTCCCCTGTGGGCAAACTCGTTCATGAAGTTGCCTTCCACAAAGCTTTTCTGAATTTGGTTTTGTCCTTACCCACCCCTGACCCCACCAAGCTAGTTGCTCTTTCAGCTGGGTTTCCATCACACTTGATGGATCCTTCTACTATGTATTGGGGTCTTCTTTAGTATGCATGGGTTTAATAAGAGCTCAGTAATGGCCCCTCTGACATTCTAACCCCTCACTATACTACTTAAATGGTAGATTAAATCATTTTTAAATTAGTCAGTACTTGTTGGCGAAAGCTATGGGAAGCATTTGGGAAAGATTTAAAGGGTTTTACAAAATTGTCAAAAAAAAAAAAAAGTTCAGGTGACCTGAAGCATGGCCACTAACACCCTCTATGAATGGAATTGTTTGAGGCTTCTAAGGAACATTTTCTATTAGGAAGTGGAAGAGTGATAGGACTCTTAGTCTGTGTGGGCAACAGCTCTCAGACTGGGTGGCTTAAATAACACACATCTATTTTCTTACAGTTCTGGATGCTGAAAGTCCAAGATCAAGGGCTAGCAGGGTTGGTTGATGGCAAGGCCCTTATTCCTTCTTGCAGTATCCTCTGTGGCCATTCTTGTGTATGCAGGCTAAGAGAGAATTTGGGAGCTCTGTGTCTTCTCCTCCTCTCATCAGGACATCAGTCTTATTGGATTAGGGCGCCACCCTTATGACCACATTAATTGTCTTCCAAAGGCCTTATCTCCAAATATAGTTACACTGAGGGGATTAAGGCTTCAACATATGAATTTGTGTGTGTGTATGTGTGGGGGGGCACAATTCAGTCCATAACGGGGACTAGAAACACAAAATCATATATTTGGAAATTTTAGGGCCTATCAAAGACAATTTCAACTACAGGTGATTTTCATGTTACACTTACTTTAGTTCATAGCCCTATGAATGCTTTCAGGTTGCATTATAGTTATTTCTTTATGTAAATATCTCTCCAACTAGACTTCCAAGTGAGGGTAGATCTGAACCTTATTTATTTTTGTCTGCTGATTATAATTGTCTAATGAACTTGGAGCAAATCTTCTTCTCACCGTCTGCCTCTGAATGCAATACAGTGTATTAATTGTAGTTCTAATTCCTGTTCCCTTGTGTTTACAGCCGCCTCTCGTCCAAGCAATCTTCAGTGGTGATCCAGAGGAGATACGGATGCTCATACACAAAACTGAAGATGTGAACGCACTGGTAAGAGATGCTGGGGTTTTGTTGCTTAGGCCTGCTTCACCTGGGCAGGCAAGGCTCTTCTCCTGTTCTGTACTGCGAAGCCCTTTCGTAAATGGTGAAAACTCTGGACGCTTTCTTAGAATACTGTTTTATAAGCCCACCCAATAAAATACAGATTTCAGGAAGGAAATATACTGAGATATGGTTATCAAAATATTAAAAATTAAATTTCTGATATAACATATATACTTCTTTATTAACACTTTAAAACAAGATACAGCAGATCCCGATAATGACCATAAAAAGTGAAGCTGGACATGGTGGCACATGCCTGTAATACCAGTGACTTGGGAGACTGAGGCAGGAGGATAGTGAGTTCAAAGCCAGCCTCAGGAAATTGAGGTGCTAAGCAACTTAGTGAGACCCTGTCTCTAAATAAAATATAAACAAAGAACTGGGGATGTGGTTCAGTGGTTGAGTGCCCAATCTTCAGTATTCCGCCTTGCCCCCAAAGTGATGAGCATAGTCAGTATTTTGAGTTATATACCCTAATCCTAATATCATCTGTGCAATGCCCTCAATTTCTACTAGTGACAGTGTTGATGCTCTTGTGGCTTGCGTTCTTGTGGCTTGCTGTATGCATTCATAATGTAAGAAAATACTAAACTTCAATGAGACATCAGTACAACTAAACATGTAATATTCTCTTCCAAGGTGATGAGCCCATGTAGCAGGGCTTGGCAACCTGTGTTCCTTCACCTGGATGCATTTATATAGGCCACCAGCTATGAGGTTTCCATTTTTTAAATAGTTTAAAAAAAAAGACAAGAGAAGAGTAATATTTTGTGACCCATAAAAATGATATGAAATTCAAATTTCAGTGTCCATAAATAAGGTTCTGTTGGCATGTGCCTTGCTTTTGCATGGTAGCAGCTGAGCTGAGTTTTTGTGACAGACTATACATAACCTGCAAAAAAAAAAAAAAAATTCTTTCTAGCTCCACAGAAAACGTTTACTGGTTTCTGCCCTACAGGGTTCACAAACCTGGGAGGAATGACTGGCCCAGGCATCCTGTGTTCCCCCTGAAAGTGTATATAATAGGTATGTGCCTTTGTGCACCTTGTTATTTCTCTATGAAAAGGGTCCAGTATTTTATCAGATTCTTAAGAGATCCCCAAAAGATTAAGAATCAGTGGATCTGGAAGGTTTTCAAACAAACAAGCCAACCTGTGATGAAGAAAGGTAAAAAGTGTTAGTCAGAAATTTACTCTTTTAATAGTTTCCTAGAGGTAGGTTGAACAAGCAATTATGTGTGGTACATGCTACTAATTCTCTTAATGTAATTCAATTATTGAAATACTCAAGTCCACCAGGGAGAAGAGTTCTCTTTAAAGTCTCTAGTGTTCAGTGGAAATGACAGAAAGGGTCAAGTGCCTCTTTAGTGTAAGCAGAGCTTTGCCAGGGAGAGAGAGATGGTGTTGAAGGTTGCATTTCTATCTGGTTGCTGAATGCTTTATTCAGAAGACAGGTCTTGTTCTGTGGCCACAGCCATTGTTTCATGGTAGTGCAGGTTGGTGTGACTTTTTGAAAAGGCTTGTAGGGGTTTCTCTCCAGCTTGTAGGGGGTGGGGTGGGGTGGAGGGGAGGATGTTTTGTGACATTTTTGCAAGGTAAGCACAGATAGAGCCAGGGACAGAGTACTGGAGAAGACAATTGGGCACTGATCCAGAGCCTGCGAGGTATGACCTGTACTTTTGAGAGGAGGCCAGGCAAGTGAGTTCACTGTCCAGTCTTTTGATATCACGGGAGTCCGCCCAGCCTGTTTGGTGGCTGTGGGCCAAGCTTAGGCAAGCCCAAGACAAGGTTTCTACCTTTTCCTGATGATCATGAGCAAACAGAACTTTTGTTCAGTCACACACCAAGAAAGGTTGTACTGGCTCCTGAATGGCCTTTATTTCTCCTTGGGCAAGTGACAAACAGTTGCTGGCTGATAAAGGTTTAGGAGAGATTAACTTAAATCGTAACCCAGCTGTATTGCTGAATTAGTTAGATAGGTTAGCTGCTCTAACATGTAGACTCCTGAATGTCTGATGGGTGTATGACATGGGAAGTTTAGTTCTCTTAGGAACAGATTAGAGGAGTGACCACTATTCTACATAGGGGCCCAGGTAACAGTCCAAGTTCACTGTTGGGATCGTCTCCAGTTTAGTGAGCCAGAAGGGACAAAAGTGCCCTGAGGAGAAGTGTGGAAAGATCTTTATGGATCAGCTTGGAAGTAGCATGTTTCACTTCTGATCAGACCCCATTCACCAGAGCTCTGTGATATGGCCACACCTGACTACACGGCTGAAATTATGTAACTGTGCCCCACCAATATTTGGTCGTACATAATCATAGGGAATTCAAATGATGCCTCTTACTTATCTATGGGGTTGTCTTATCCATTCTATAATTACTGAGTTGAGACCATGCTAAGTGCTAGAGACAGAACAGTCTGATAGTGCTTTCTCTCATGGAGTTTATAGCACAGCCGAGAAATCAGGAAATGAGAAATCACTCTATGGCACTTTTTTTTTTTTTTAAACTGGGAATGAACTTGGTGGCACTCAACCACTGAGCCTCCTCCCCAGCCCTATTTTATATTTTATTTAGAGACAGACTCTCACCTTGCTTTTGCTGAGGCTGGCTTTGAACTTGCGATCCTCCTGCCTCAGCCTCCTGAGCCATTGGGATTACAGGCATGCGCCACTGCACCTGGCATCTATGGTACATTTTTGTCAGTGAAAATCGAGGGCACTTTGTCAGGGGAGGGGGTAGGTTGATCATGAGGATCTGACAGAGTGTGTGTAAACTGAGGCCTGAAGGACAGTAGGAATTTGCTTTATATCTGTGTGCCGCTAAATGTACGGTAGGAGGAAAAGGTGGGAAGAAGGAGGAGTAAATGATACATGAGCAGCTGCATGGCTGAAGGAAGCCTGCCTTCCTTAGGCTCAATGCTCTTCTTTGCCAGTGTTCCTTGGGGATCAGTCCGATTGAACATTTCCCCCGGGGTTGGGGTGGAGTGGGTCACGCAAGGGAAGTGATTGCTGGCAGAGGACCTAGAGAGATGGGAGACGCCTGAAGATCTGATCTGTAAGCCTGGAGTGCATTCCAGGAGGGAGGAGGAGAGGCTGAGAACTGATACACCTGAATGTCAAGGAAGGGAAATATATGGTGGAAGAGCCTCCTGTTCCTAGGAAGACAGTGTTTGCTTCTCACCTTTTGCTTTTCTTCCTTTACTCCCCACTTGCTATTCTCTTCTTTCTTTCTGGTGCTGGAAATGGAACCCAGGGCCACATGCATGTTAAGTATGTGCTTCACCATTGAGTGTACCCCAGCTCCTCGCTGTTCATTTCTATCCCAGAGTCTGAATTTTTCACCTTTCTTTTTTTCCCTCCCACCTCTCCGTGTGTTTTGATGGGCATGTGTTCTTTGGTGTAATTCACTCTTTGATTAGCTGATCCTGGTAATAGAAATCAGTTTCATTCAATTGGCCCTCTGTGTTTTCCTCCACTTTCTTTCTCACTAATGGTATTCATGAACCTATGCTTCAACGGAACCAAATTACTCAACCCTTTGAGATTCATTTTATTCTCTTGTGTATTTCTTACTTCTCTGTGTCCTAATTTCACCTGCCCTTTCATACCTACTGCTCCTTCCGCTAAGGTGTCCTAATTTTCAATTTCTGTCTGCTGACTTCTCTGCTACCTCCCCAACCCAGCCAAAGAGATCTACCTCTTCTCTCAACTCCCACAGTTCTTTATACTTCATTGATCACTTTCCACTCCTTCAGTTATTTATTTCTATATTTTGCATCTGAGAGATGAATATGCTTGATGACATGATCATGATCTCATTTATTCTCATTTGCTCAATTGCCCAGCCTAGTCTTTGTTATACATTGAGTGAATGACTTAATCCCACTTTATTGAGTCAACTTGTGGTGACCTACATTTTATTTCTCCCCTCGAGGACTAATTGTGGAACAGAGTAAGCATCTGGCTTAGTGTCCCTCTGGTGTAAGTTGTAAGATGGAATTCTTTTTTTTTTTAATATTTATTTTTTATGTGTAGTTGGACACAATGCCTTTATTTTATTTACTTATTTTTGTGTGGTGCTGAGGATCGAACTCAGGGTCTCGCACATGCTAGGCGAGTACTATACTGCTGAGCTACAACCCCAGCCCCGAGATGGGAATTCTTGAAGGATTAAAAGCCTATAGATTGATTTGAGGAGACAGGAGGATCAGGAGGAGCACTCTGGTTCTTTGTGTGGATTCTTTGGCTACTGGTGTACCACAGCCTGGAAACATGGGATGACCATTGTACACTCTGAGAAATCCATTTAAATTGACCTACTATATGGGCTGAAAATTAGAAAGTTTCTAGAAGTCTCCATCCAGCTAACCAAATTGAACTTGAGGTGGAGAATAGCTTCTGAATTTCAAAGTTTCAGGATGTAGGGACCCAGAAAAATCAATATGTGAACTCAATAAAATATTCTTGGGATTATGTTCTGACAACACAATGTTAAGAGGACTGACTTACCATGCCACACGCTAACAGGGACAGAGAAAAATTGGCACCTGTCCATGGTGAGTGGTCAAGATGGGAAAGGAACTCTGCCATATGAGGAGTAGTTATAGAAATTGGTGATGTTTTAATAGACTTGGAAAGGCCAGGAGAAGTGTCCTAAATAGTTCATTTTATGCTGATAAGTTAAACCTGTCATATGTCATGTGGTTGTAAGCTACAGAAAATAAGATTTCAGGTCAAAAGATAAATAATAGCTGTGTAAAGAAGGAAGGAGCTGGGCACGGTGGCACACACCTGTAATACCAGCAGCTTGGGAGGCTGAGGCAGGAGGATAGTGAGTTCAAAGCCAACCTCAGGAAAATTGAGGTGGTAAGCAACTCAGTGAGACCCTGTCTCTAAATAAAATACAAAATAGGGCTGGGGATGTGGCTCAGTGGTCAAGTGCCCC